GCCAATGATGACAAAACCTTGTCGAAACGTTGTACATTTGCTGTTATATTAAAGTTTTCTTCATTACCCATTCAAGCCGTCTCCAGCCATTATTAGTCTCAAAGTGGGTTCCTCGTCATCGAATTTAAGTTATATTTTGTCCAGGCTCTAGTCAAGGCTCGTCGAATGGAGGATCCGTCAAGTTTCGTTCTGGTAGAACAAGTCGAATATCCTCCGCTAGATGACAGCAGTTTGTCAGGACCACTCCGCCGCCAAGGAACGCACAAGAACCGACGAGTTTTGAATGATAATGAAAATGTCTACAAAGCGCAAGCTCGCTGGAAAGCCAAGGGTTGGTTTGAGCTAAAAAAGCGTGAAGATAGAAACATACCTCCCCTCCTTTAATTTGAAATGTGTTAAGGACGAATCAATGGAAATATACCTCCTCTAATTTGAAATGTGTTAAGGACGAATCGATAGAAACATACCTCCTCTAATTTGAAATGTGTTAAGGACGAATCGATGGGAACACGAACATACCTCCTTTAACTTGAAATGTGTTAAGGACGAATCGATGGGAACATACCTCCTTTAATTTGAAATGTGTTAAGGACGAATCAATGGAAATATACCTCCTCTAATTTGAAATGTGTTAAGGACGAATCGATAGAAACATACCTCCTTTAGTTTGAAATGTGTTAAGGACGAATCAATGGGAACACGCCTCCTTTAATTTGAAATGTGTTAAGGACGAATCGATGGAAACATACCTCCTTTAACTTGAAATGTGTTAAGGACGAATCCTATTGATTCGTCCTTAACACATTTCAAATTAGAGAAGGTATGTTTCTATCGATTCGTCCTTAACACATTTCAAATTAGCTGCTTTCTACTTGCCGTTTCCAAGTGGAGTTTCTCCTCTCAATAAACCCCGTGACGCTTCAACTAATCTTATTATCCTTTTTGGAAGCGGGAGGATTTTGAAAAGCACTAAGGAAAGGCCTTTCGACATGGTGTCGTTTAGGAAAACCTTTTGGCATTGAATTTCTGAAGTAGTTTAATAAGTTAATCCAAGAAATTATCAAGTTTAGAATATTTCAGTGAAGTCTTGCTTCGTTGCTGCATGGAACGAAATTTGAGAAAGTTTTAAAATATTCAGTTTATTTAATCATCTCACTTAGTTTGAAAACTACCCAAGTAGAACTAAACTAAAGAGACTAAAACACTGTTCTGACGAGGCCAATAAAATATTCTATTTGAATCATTCCAGTTTAAGTGTATCTTAGTAAAGGAACACTTACATATTATCAATATTTTAGAAGTAAGAATGTATAGAAACTTTGATATTTAATTACTTTTCCACTAACCGTCCTCGCAAGAAGACATTATAAAACAATGTCTGTTTACAGACATTGAATCTTGTAGGTATTATTTTTGGCATTAAGAATAAAAGGAATGGTATAATGTTATACGATTCTGTTGGGAGGTCACCTGGCGGTAGCTGTTGAAACATATTTACTTTCAGTGTTTTTCCGGTTGTGAGTAACAATTTGTCAACCATTTGACGAAGTTCTAGAAAGAACTAGAACCAGTTACACGTGCATTAATCGTATTTTGAATATTTCTATAGGCCTTGCATAACAATAAAAGAAGCGTTGGGACAAAATCCGGAAGTTTATCAAGACTTGGGAGACTAAGAAGTTCCTCCAGAACCAAAGGTAGATATACCCATTAAAGATATGTATATACCTATTAAAGATATATATACCCATTAAAGATATGTATACCTATTAAAGATATATATACCCATTAGAAATATGTATACCTATTAAAGATATATATACCAAGTAAAGATATATATATATACCCATTAAAGATATATATACCCATTAAAGATATGTATATACCTATTAAAGATATATATATATACCCATTAAAGATATATATATATATACCCATTAAAGATGTGTTGTATAGAGTAACATTTAACCTTCATTAGACGTGTTGGATAAAGTAACATTTAACCTTCATTAGGTGTGTTGGATAAAGTAACATTTAACCTTCATTAGACGTGTTGGATAAAGTAACATTTAACCTTCATTAGACGTGTTGTATAGAGTAACATTTAACCTTCATTAGGTGTGTTGGATAAAGTAACATTTAACCTTCATTAGACGTGTTGGATAAAGTAACATTTAACCTTCATTAGGTGTGTTGGATAAAGTAACATTTAACCTTCATTAGGTGTGTTGGATAAAGTAACATTTAACCTTCTTGATCTTTGTCATTTGTAGATTCCGAGAAGTCGTCGCCACGACACCCACCTTTAACATCAGAACGTCATATCAAGAGTATGAACGATTCTGGAAATTCCAAAGAAGACATTGACCACAAACCACCGAAACGGGTAGTCCACAGTGAAGGAGAAACGATCTCTGATGATGATGAATGTAAGGATGGCGTTTCTTCTATATCCAAATTCAAAAGGATCTCATTAAGAAAACTCAAAGCGTGGAGGTGAGGACGGACCGCCCGAATCTTAAGATCTCCGATAAGACTGGGTTTAGCTTGGAACTCCAGCCTCCTCTGATGTGCTGGTCAACAGCGAACTCGGAGAATTCCTTGCTCCACGGTCTTGACAATCTTTTGTTATATCTAGTCATAATTCACACTAATTACTCACTGTTTAATTCCAGTATCTTCACACCATCGTATCAGGTTTAGTTGCCATCTTTAGCTGTTGTCCTTTTCCAACTAGACTCTCTATAAGCGGTCCTCATTCTCCACATCGTACTTCCTATTGGTCACTATTGGAGAGAACCGTTGTCATTGTCCACACCACTAGTGGTTCGCACCAGGTCTATGCACGTATATGTGGCCTTCACTTATGGAATTATTTAATTATGTTCCTGACTGCTGTACTTCTGGGCACTTTGTATTTCATTATTTAATGTACTCGCATAATCATGTATGCCGCGTGTTTTTTTTTCTCCTATTGATCCAGTTTTTAAATAGTTACTCTAAAACCCCTCATATTTTATCACTTTCCTTTTGAACAAACATTAAGGTCGTTGATGTGGCCATTTGCACCGTTTCGTGCTTCCTGACCAGATATGTTAATTGTTGAAATGTTTAAATTTGTTACTGAACCATCACTGATGTAGAGTTCTTTGTACATACGTCACGACTGTGAACTGAGTCCTTTCTAGCATGATAGTGTACTTACTGTAGTTAATGATGGGCTCAAACGCCGATACTCCTTTTAATTTGTTTGTTTGTAATTAAGCACAATGGGCTATCTGTGCTCTGCCCACCACGGGTATCGAAACCCGGATTCTAGCGTTGTAAGTCCGCAGACATAACGCTGTGCCACTGGGGGGGGGGGGGGGTCTTTTTAATCCCAAGTCATAAGCAGTTTTTCTCGTGTCGTACCTAGAATGTAGCATAGGTTAACATTTCCAGAGTAGCCTATAGGACGTGTAACAGTGATTTTTCTTAACGGATAGTTATCCGTGATTCACAACTATCCGTCGCAGCGCTAGCACAACTATTTCGCTAAAGTATTTCTAAAAAAACAAAAACAAAAAAAAAAAACACGGCCCGAAATGTGGAAATCATAAAACCTCCTGGAATATATGTACCAAGACTGTGTACTGTAACAGTAAGTTCCCGTGGGCAGGAAACGCGCCGGATCTTGTAGAATAGTCCCCTGTTTGTTAGTGATAAAAGATGGACCTTTATTTGTAGAGGTGTTGTTCTGTTATATATATGAACACTTGGTTTATTGCGATTACAAAATATAGAAACTACACTGTTAATGTATTGTTGATAGTATATGAAAAATATTGAACCAAAATATATGACCAGTATTGTATTATCTATAAACTGTATTTGTTACAACAACTCGCTTACTGTCACGCCCCCTACGGCAGCTCGCTTACTGTCACGCCCCCTACGGCAGCTCGCCGTATTTTCACGCCCTCTACCTCCTACATTGTCTTGATTTTCCTGTATTGTATTCGCATATACTTGTATCATTTTCGTGTACAATCTTCAAACAACGTGTTTTTCTTCTAAGTTATTATATTCGTCACTTTTATGGAAAACCTGCAATACACTGTAGCTTTCTATTCCAATAACACAGAGATGTTTTAAAATTTCTATATTTTATCATAAATAATGTTTTTTACCCTCCAGACGTACAGACAACATATTAGTATTGAAATTGATCTGATTTATGGAAAAGTTATTCACGTTATGAAGATTCTATGGTTGTGATCCCGTTTGTGGCCATTTTATAATACTTTATCAGATCTGTGTTAGTTTATTGTCAAGTTTTAAAACGTGTTATGTGTATTAGTTTATTGTCAAGTTTTAGAACGTGTTATCTGTATTAGTTTATTGTCAAGTTTTAAAACGTGTTATCTGTATTAGTTTATTGTCAAGTTTTAGAACGTGTTATCTGTATTAGTTTATTGTCAAGTTTTAGAACGTGTTATCTGTATTAGTTTATTGTCAAGTTTTAGAACGTGTTATCTGTATTAGTTTATTGTCAAGTTTTAGAACGTGTTATCTGTATTAGT